CATATTTCAAGGACAGCTGTCAATATTTGGGGCATAACCTAAGCCTTATACAGCACATTAGAGTATACTGAAAACAGCATTTAACTACACAGCACAGAAAAGGGTCATTAACTGACACCTATCTGAAATTCTCATGGGCACAGATGCCAACCGGCAAAGTAGGTCACATTCTAGATGGGCTCCTAAAAATCAAGTCACCTCGGTTTGATGAGGTGATACAATGGAACGTGCACAACCCACCCACAGCCAAGTGTAGGTGAAATAAACCCTGTTTTGCTGTATCACTCAAGGAACATCAAAACGTGGAAAACAGATAAAAAGTTAAGCTAAACGGGCAAGAAGAGCCTGTCTTCAGCCCTTGACTCCCAGAAAAAAGCAAGGCTGGAAAAGAGGGAACAACTGAACGACTGCTGCTTTCTGAGGCCCTCAGGAGGGACAGAAGGACCCAACATGGAAGCACTACCTTGTAGATAATCTGTAATAATCTTAACACCCCCTACACTAAAGAAAATTGAGTATGAGTGCCTGTTCATTTCTCTCTTTTCCTTTGGATCAAAAAAGGATGAACGCTCAAGGTCTCAAATTGTCTTTCATACATTAAAACATTTTGTTGACCATATGGATACAGAATCCTGATAAAACCTGAAATTCTTCCCACTTTACTCTGCAGAAGTACTCTACTACTTTCTTCAGGAAAAATAATTACTTGCCAAGAATAATGTGTTACAGAAAAAAAGTCCATGAACATTAAAGCATCAAATGCTGTAACACCTACGGCAAGTCCTTCAAATCATAGACAGTACTTCAGTGTAACAATCTTCAACTGTGCCATTACAGCTTTGTAAAACTAAATACATGATCCTAATATTTCAAGAATTCAAAGCATACACCGAATGAAAATTTCACTTTTTTCCAATATCCCTATATGGTCCATCTAACCAGTGCAAGAGCACTAGCTTTCACTCAAATAACTACGAAAAAATAAGACAAATGAAACCTTATTGTACAACAGAACAAAACCTCTCTCATCTGATGTGAAAAGGACCATATTCTCTGACAGCAAGAAACATCAAAAAAAATTTTTTAATTATAATTTGTATTTCTGAAATTGTATGAAAATGTTATTTTGGAATATCAGCAGAAGATACATTTTTCCTTTCATTAGGCTTAAAGGAAACATTACACTCACCCCTCTTCAGCAAATGCCTTTTACTAAAAGGTCAGGAGATCAGCAATCATAAGCAAAGTTTCTCTGTCTTCACCAACATCAGCTGTGTTCACCTTTCACAGTTCAAAAGGATGCAGAAATTTATCTTAAAAACCCATTAGACAAATCGTACCTGATCCTGATAAGCAAGGAAGTTTTTCCACAGACCTGTGTATGTTCTGAAGATTGAGTGTTTCAAACAATCCCATTTTCCCTATTCACCTCTTTTTTCCAATCCTGTAAAACAGATTCAAACAGCAAAAAACTTGAAGATCACAGAGGCTGAGTCCCAGCTCAAAAACGCCACACAAATCCGCCTTTAAAACTGGTTACAGGCCATCTGTTACAAGATCTTCTCCCTCAATTTTCAAAGTACCAAATGGCAGGGAATGGACCATCCCCAAGCATGCTACTGATAGTTAGAAAACTAAGCTTCCGTTAAAACGAAATTCGGTAACTTCCAATTCCAGCTATTCAAAGTCTGTGATTCTGCCAAGATGGTTGAAAAAACATATTCTTTACACCCATATCAGTTACTAGTTACCAAGAAGCTATGAAAGAAAAAAAATTACGATGACAAAAACCCATGGTAAGAAATAAGTAAAGAAGCCAACAATTTATTGATAAGTAGACTGTTTAGAAATTGAAGGGGAAAAAAGGGAGGGGGGGGGGATGACGACAAGGAAGTATTAACAGAAATTAGAAAGAAAAATGGGACCAACACAAACACATAAAAGGGACAAAAAAATTAGAAAAGAATAGGTACAGGACAGCAACAGAGCATTCACATCTACAATAACGTGTACAGTGAAAGACATAAGGGCATGTATCAAAAAAATTCTAGCATTCGTTTAAGATGCCAGTGCTCTCCCTCCTACTATGTTTTCACACAAACGTTCCAGCAGCAACAGAAGATACCAAGCTCTGGGCATATAAAAGCAATTCCTATGCCAAAATTGAACAGGAGGCAACTATAAGTGGAAGATGTCTCATCAATTTCACTTAATCATTTACAACATTACCATCTACGCAGTACTGAAAATAAGTAACAGTAGATTTCTTTCTTCCCTTATACAGCTTCTGAGCTGTGTAGAATTAGCTTTCCTTCTAGCACAGCAAAAAAACCCCTCCTGTAATGCATATCAGGAACACAGTGGGTCAAAGACTACTTTCACGGTGAGCCTACATCACAATAAATACCATCTGTCACATCCAAGGAGGCAAGTGAATTACTAAAATGTTAACTAAGAAACATACATCAGCTGTAACTCCATAAAATGGAATTACTTATTCTAAATTGGTTTAGTATATATTTGACAGATTTTCAGGGCTTTTTTTGTAATTTTTATTTGTTAAAATAGTATTTCTACATAGGCACAATAAAGAGAAGCCATTTTAAGTTGTTCTTTCAGAACGTTTCCAAAATGCTGGTGCTGTAACTTCACCTCTATCATGCCACAAGCATCTGTCAGTGGTGAAATTACATGAAGCAGTGAGCTTTTGGCAACTTGCTACTGCTTAAATACAGGAGTCTTACGCTTCCCACATCTCATCTCTTCTCTCGTGTTCCTCCCTACCTATGCTGTACCTGCCATTGCATCTGCTCCAAAGCACATCCTATTCTCCGTTGAACCAATTCAGCTCTGTTGTAAAGCAAAAAAGTAGATCATTTTCCACTGAAAAGGAATGTTTTTCTAAATTAAAGACACTATTTACTTACAGTGGGAAGCAAACCATCCAAACACAACCATGAATGATATTTCTTAATTGCCTAGAGTACAACAGCTAATAGGCTACAAAGTTACCATACAGGCAGAGCAAACCTGAAATGCAATCAGCTGCAAAAAATGAAACTGCAGAGTAGCTCTCTGAAATACTGTACACATAGGTTTTTTTCCTAGAATCCAGAGAGAAACATCACTCTACCTTACATATATTGAGCTTGTAAATATTTCATCCTACCAACTTAACTTTCCCATCCAGAACACAGCTATAAACTTAAAGAATGTATTTTCCTATTTACCCTGCAAAAAGGTATACACTCCCCTCTCTGGCTAAACAACTTTTTATTAAGAAAGGAAAAAAAACCAAAAACATTTCAAGTAGACTAAAGACTGCATAGGGCTAATCTGAAGAGACTGGGAGATGCACTCCTAAATTATACTATGTCTGAAAAATGAGAGTATATGCCACACTAATATAATACAGTAAACCTACAGAGGAACATTAGAAAGAATCTGCAAATGAGTCCTTGCACGTTCCCCCAGAACAGAAACCATATATGCACTTGGGTATTGACTGCACTTTTTTAATGTAGTTGCCAGGGGTCAAACACTTGACATTGGTAAAAAAAACCCACCAACAAAAAAACCACAAAAAACCTACAGGCAGCGTTGTGTAGAAATTATTTTGGAAGAGGTTTGTTCTTAGTCCTCATGATGTGAAGAAGCACTACTACCACAAGTCATAACACACAGAGGCCTCAGATGCAGAACAAAGATCAGCCTGGCTAACTGACTTGCTTGCATCCCTATCTCAAATTCACATCTGTCACAGTCAAAAGCTCATCTTGAAAGAATTAGATTTTCCCTTCCACTACAGAGGCTCTCTCTTATTTATACTAATCCAGTGACTAAGTAATACTCCTCCAACTCTTCAAAGCTTGTATTATCCATCTCATTAGTACTCAACACTGAAGACAGAATTTGGGGAGGTTTTCTTTCTGATCATAAAAGGCAGTTGACAAATTAGCAGAGAATCTTCTTGGAAAGAAATACAAGGTATTTGTCTATTTCTCAGTTTTGTCAATCTGATTTTTCTTGAAACCTTATTTACAAGATCAGCTAGTATCCTCCCTGTATTCTGTGATCCCCTTGGCAATAGACTCTTCAGCTATACAAGGCTAATCACTATTCCTAAATCAGTCCTAAAAAGCAAAGCATTTGTTCAGAAGACAACTTCAGAATTTAAATGAAACACTTAAGTCAGCCACCTGTTTTGGTCTATTTACAGGACTACTGGAGACATGACTCTTATCTGAAATGCAGTTACAGTACATAAAGGCTCCAATTGCCAAGAAAATCCTTGATTTCTACTGCACCTAATTTAGAAATTATGTACTGGAAAGAGTTTCTATTTAAAGCACACGCATAATAAAAGCGGACAAAACCAATACCTTTGAGTAAATCTATTCATGCTATTCTATTACTACAGAAAATGCAGTTGTTCTACTGCTGTTTTAACTGACATACAGAGTGACGGGACAACAAATCTAATTAAGTTCATTTGCTCCATAGATTCATTTTTGGGGGGGGTCTTTTTGACAGCACAGGCTGTGGCTGATTTGATCCGTGTGCAACATTTGACTGGTAAAGTGGCTACCACCTCAGAAAAGGGGCCAACGGTAATTGTCTTTCAGGCGGAGGGCACTCTTTGGACCTTGTTCTCCATCCAACTGATTTTTTTCTGTGAAAACCTTGAACGCTTCCCCCCACTCCCTCCCCCAGAAAAACAACCATCTTTCACACCTCTATTTCCATTGCCAAATGTGGTTGAAATCAAACATGTTGCCCAGAAACTGGCAGGGGGTGGAGGGCAGATGGGAAAACAACATGGCTGTAAAGACAACTTATTGCCTTAGAGAAACCGGACTAAAAGCAGTAGTTAACATTTTATGACAAGGTTTTCAAGTTATTAAATACATTTGGTTAAAATATCTTTAAATACTCTACATTGCTCTATATTTGAAGTATTAAGGAGATAAGAAAACTGATGTGTCTTTTCAAATTGTTACCTCAACAATATCTGAGTTGGTTCTGCTTTCATGGGGCTCGTTGTATTCTGTGTATTTAAGTAGAACTTTGTCCATATCAGTGCTGGCATACTGAAAGAGTTTGTTAGAGCTGTTAAAAATGATGAGTGCTATTTCACAGTCACAGAGTACACTCAACTCATATGCCTTCTTCATTAATCCAAACTTCCTCTTTGTAAAGGTGACCTAGAGAAGAAAAAAAATAATCATTATTCTTTAACACATGACAAGGGTTTAAAGGACTATAATCAGGTATTCAAGGAATATACCGATCGAGCCTACTCTATTTATTCCTACTAACAAGCGACACAACTGAATATGCGTACGAGCTTAAAAGAACTGCCTATCATATTTGGGTGTCACTGTTAGGGCCAATGCTCTATAGTAGACTAAGCTAAACAGTTATACCCCCCAACTCTTCCACTGGTATATAACTACCAAGCAGAGGGTATATAACTACCAAAGAAAGTTAAAGTTTGTAGGATCCTCTAACCATATTTCCTTCTGTTTGACCAACATTGACTTTCCAGGTATCACAGTATTTGCTCCTGTGATCATCGGTTATTCCGTAACTAGTTTACAAGTTACTTACAACCTTAATTCTAGTAAAATGAAGAAAACGGCAATATCAACGGAAGCAACACTGTTACTGTGATTCTATGATTTCTGATTATGCAAAGCTAAGAAATATGCTTATTTTGTTGCTATTAAACCATCTCATCAGATTCACTTCTACTTTTAAGCTGTTTTCTACTACTTGGGAACATCATGAAACAATCATTCTGTCCAGTTAGAACTGCCATGGGGAAATAAATCCATTACAGACCACCACAAAGGAGCATTTGCCCATTGGGGAAGGGGGAAAGACACTTTGTTATAAAAATCACCATCAGTTATGAAAAGAGTTTTAAAAAAATTATTCCTTTCAAAAGATTTCAGTTAGTTAAGGATATAAGAATACCAATGTATTTGACATCAAGTTGAATCAAACAGGCCTGATGCTAAGGCCAGCTTTGCTTCAAGGACAATATTTTTACTAAACATCCTCTTAAGTGTCTCAAAAAGGCACTTAATCTACTACTATGAAGTTAATGTTCTGAGGCCTTCCAAATAAACATGCCGGTTTTGGATCTAGCCTTTCAATCTGAGCTTCAGTGTTGAAGGGAACACCTCTGGCTATGGCCATATTCACACCCCCATATTACAATTCAAAGCATATGCCTCTGTGACAGGTGAGTGACCTACACGCCATACATGCTTAACAGACAATAGTGAGAATACTTTTGCAAGATAGAGAATGAAGTAAAACACAAGAAACAAATCAAACCTGTTTTATGGGTTTCTATAGTTTAAGATGTTAATTACCTAAGTGTACATCAAGTTTTTAGAAGATGGATGGGAAAATTCTGTGTATACACACCTCAAGGCATTTTTTCCAGAGATGAGTATCTCACGCATGTTACATTTTTAACACTATCCATAATACAAAATATATACTATCCTTCCCAACACATAAATAGTCTCAGAGAGATGCAGACAGACAGACTTAACAACATTATGTACATAGCATGCTGACAATAACTGTATTATTAAAACAGTATATGCATACTTCGCTTTTCCACCACAAATGTTTGCAAAGGTACTGTGGACCTGAGATTCCTCTCCGGCTATAAAACACTATCAACATCCATTAAAAAACAAACAAACAAACAAAAAAATCTGTTTTAACATGTGCCCCATCCACCCAAAAATGCATTCTGCCTATGATTTTTGAAAACCTGGATTGTTAACACTTAGCCACAGTAGGAATGGAGGTAATGAACAGAAGACATAGAAAGGCGAAAATATGGAATGTCGGGCATATTATGATAAACACAGTTCCACCTATGTTCCTGTGCAGCGTTTCTAACTTAAAAACTTTTTAGGGTTTAAAGATCACTAATCACAGAGCCTTTTGTGAGGCCTGAATAATCCGTGTTCAGATGAAAAGTGAGTACTTACCTTAACTTTTTTATTCAACCCTTTTAAAGCACGTTTGGTGAGAAGCTCCATTAAGATACAGCACTCTCTCTGAAACAATTTTATGTAAGAGTGCTGTAACACATTCAAGGTTCAACTAGGGGTAAGCAGATCTTTTTAGCTACTTATTGTTTAACAATTACAATACATTAGTGAGACAAGATGACAAAAAAATCTGACAGACTTTACCTTAATGCATCTTCTGTTGGTATTTTATTTTCAGTTATCAATTCAACAACTTGACCAAGTACAAATGTAAGTTTTACTGGGCTGTACTTTTCCCAAATGCAGGTGAAAATTTTACTATCCATGTATAATACAATACAGCTGCTTTTTAAAAACACATCTTGTGTGAGTCATCTAGCAGTTCTGTCACTGTACACATGCCTTCTTGCAGAACACTTGGGATTTATTTATCCTATCTTGGATGGGACATTAAGAATTACTTTGTCTGGATTCCTCTGGGGATTTGGGGAAACTGTGGTGTTTGTTTTTTGTTGGTTTTTTTTTTTTTAAATAGCTGTTGTTGTTCTTCTAGTTAATTCCATTACAAGACACTTAAGAGATTATTACCTGAGTATGAGCAGGTATAGACAGATATTACTGATTAGTTTTTGTCAGAAAAAAGGCATCATAAACAAGATGTGTGTGCACTATATTACTTTGAGAAGTCATTAAAAGACTGAAGGCTTAATTCACTGAGGACCCGTATGATCTTGGGCAAGGGATCTTAACCTCTCTACTGAAATGTTATCTTTCTCACCTCTTGTACGGCTATTTTACTTCTGAGATTTTTTACTTGTAAGATTCTCAGCTAGTGTCGATTTCTCACTTTGTGTTTGGACAGTGCTTTAGCACAAAGCCCAATACCACTGGAGTCCAAGCCTTGCTTTAATGCACATAGACTGTTATAAAACCAGTTTTTATTTAAGAACTCAGATAGCAGAATCTCTTTTTTTTTTTTTCCTTGCCATTTAGTGTGTCATTTAGGACCACACTAAAAACAAAAATATATATCTTCATTGCCGGCCAACGGCTTCCTCAGCACTATTCTATTATTGCTTAGCAAAAAAGGGCGAGGAGAGAGCAAAGGCAGCAAGATTGAGCTCCTTTGATATCTAATTTACTGTACTTTATTCTCTTCAGCTTAATGAAGATAAATGTCCTACAGCTCATTCAAGCAGATAAGACTGCTTAATTAATAATACAATGACAGTCTCATGACCATCGTAATCCCCAGAGTAACGGTCTATATATTCTGTTTTGAGCTCACATACAATCCCATCAGAAATAAGATGCTTCTGATAAAACAATAGCTTTTCTTCCCACATAAGTTATATGAACTCTATGAAGCTCTATCCCATTCTACTCGTATTTTCAAAACAAAAAAACCAAAGCACCATACTAAACATCTAAACAGGATATCATACGCATGTTCATGATTGACCTACTACCCAGCTACGTATGCCATACAAAAACTGACAGGACACAACTGAACTATGCTTTCTGTTTAGCAAAACAACCCCTAAATGGGGGTCAATGAAAGAATTCTCAAAAGCAAATTAATACCTAATGAATATCCTGTGCATCAGGGCATTTTAGTATGTTAAAACTCTATATACTAGCTACCAAAATCACATGACACCAGTACAGTTAAAGACGACCATCAATACCTCTACACATAAAAAGCTGGCTCCACTAACAAAAGCTATTTAATCTCTTTAAAACCTTTTAAAAACAAGATGCAGTATGTTATCATCTCTGAGTTTCCACAGAAGAAGGATAAGGCAAGCCTAATTCCATTTTTAAATTAGAGCTTAAAGCTTCTTCTTAGTCACTAAAAAGCCCAATAAAGTGCTAGCCAAAAACCAGCCAGAAACAAAACTTAGAATTTGATCCCCATATTTTGATTCAGTCACAGCAATGGTATAAGTGGGCTAAAATTTGATACAAATGCACTAATTCTCCTCCTCTCCATTGTTCCAATCCGAACAAGATGGAGATCCAAAAAAAACAACTCCCCCTGAAAAAAAATCCACCACACTAAAGTCAGGGTATAGTATAACGATATTTGTATTTCAAGCAGAACAAAACCACAGTTGTCCAAATTACTCCAAATAAGTTTAAAAAAGGGGGGAGGGAGATCACTTTCCACCTCTCCAACATGCCTGAAGTTCTAGAGCAAGATCTGAAAGAACTGAAGTTACTAATTCATCTACTTTTACTACTTGTACTTAAGACATTTATCTACATCAAACATACAGTCACTGTGTGATTAAAGCTGTTCAAACACAATACTTGGCTTTCTCCCAAACTCCAATAATACTTTTCTTGCTATATATAGTCTTCTCAGAGTTTACATTGCTTTAAAGTGATACAGGGAGAAAAACAATCCTGACTTCACAAATAAAACAATGGGCTCTGAGCTGATATGTCAGCAGCAAGACAGTCTCATGGAATTCTGACACTACCTCAACATCAAGTTGGCGCTCAGAAGTTAAAAAAGCAAATCAAATACTAGGAAGGGAACAGAGAACAAACATCAGTACACCGCAATATAAGTCCATGTTTTGCAGGCATCTTGAACACTGTGCAGTTCTGGGCCCCTTTGCCACCAAAAATAACGTAGAAATACTCAAGAAGGTTTATGGAAAAGTAGCAACGATGGCCAAAGGTGTGGAATAAATTCTGTAATAAAACAACTAAGTAAGCTAGGATGCTTCAGCCTGAAAAGTTATTTTAAGAGAAAATAAAAAAACCTGGCAGATGTCCACAGCGTAACAAGCAAGATGGATAGACTAGATAGGGAGTGACTGCTGCCTCTTTCATACAAGAGCTAAATAACTAGAAGAACCATGACTCAGCATAAATAAAAAGGTGTTTCTTGAAACAACAGGTATAGGAAATCCTAGCCAAAAGATGTTGTAAATGCGGCAACTTTATAAGGGCTCAAAGGATAACTGAACAAGTTCATTGGCCAGGGGCGGGGAAAACAAAAACAAAACAAAACAAAAAAAAACATTAATGGTTACTAAATATACGGAAACCACATCCAGCTCAGGAAATCCCTGAGCTAAGAATAGTCATAAGCTGGAAGAGGATTACAGAGTAGTGTAACATGTGCATCTCTATCCTACACTTATTTGCTTATGACTATCATTGGACAAAAGATACTGGCCTAGCAGCATCTTTGGTCTGACCCACTGTGACTATTCTTAAAGATCCTGAGTCATTCCTACAATACTTTTCCTCAAAAATGGTAGATTCCAGATACCCCACTATACATTTCAATATCCAATTAAAATTTTATTTCGTATCCATGTGGCAATTTAGAAGTTAAGAGGAAACATAGCTTCTGCACAGAGTCAAATTTTGGTACTTTTCAAGTTCACAGAACACCTCTTTACGAGGGCAAGAGCAATGAAGTAAACAGCTTTCCCTAAAACAGTGCACTTCTGAGTACTTTTCCCGTTTGACTGACAATTTTTAAAGACTGTTGTAGTAAACAGCTCTTACAAGGAACATAAATCAACGCTTTTAAATAGAATCATGTTAACAAAATTCATTACTATATCCAAACCACTGTAACTCATTGTCCACAGTTATGTCAAACTCCTCTATCAAAGAGCCTGCAGCACACACTTCTACTACATTCTTTCTGAATTTCTCATCCTTTCTCCATCTTCATTACTAAGTGTTCCTAGTAGCTATCAGATCAAGTAAGGTGTCTGTTTCAAGACGATCCTCCAGTCTACTAGAAGTACAGATTAGGGTACCATTTAAATAGAATAGTAGTTTTACAGTAAATTTGATGTAAAGTAGTAATTGATATTACTTATAGATAACAATTTCCCCTACAACAGTAGTAAAACCATTGAGACATATTTCTTATTTGTATTCTGGTAATGCCATCTGTAGATACATGAAGACAAAGCTCTGCTTTAGAAGAGTGAATTAAGATGAATGCATTCAAAGTTTCCATTAATTTTTAGGATTACTGATGAACTTGCTCATGCAGACTCCTTGTTTCTCACCTGCCTGTTCCGTTCATCCATTATTCTTGTGATCTGTATTTTCTTTCTCCCCATTTTCAGCCTCTTCTTTCTTTTGCTTTGCAATCCAGAAATATACTAATCCAAGAAATTTCACTCTTCAGTTTTCTAACACATGATACAGTTTTCTTTCACTTTGTCTTCAGCTTGAGAAAAGGTTCCTATTTCTTCTTATAAACCCCTAAAAAATAAAAATTTTTTAAAATTAGTTTACAAATTAATAAAGAGGAAGCATCATTGAACACCTGTACAGCTGTAAAACATGTGCATGCATAAAATAATTTCAGTGAAGAATCAAGTATTTTCCTTAGTAAAATATTATACTACATATTTTGTTCCAATTAAATGAACTCCAACTGGTTTGCTAGATTCTAAATCTGTAGTTTGTAGGTAAAATGACCAATAATTTCATACACTTCCAATTGGATGCCTTAAAAATTTACAGTTGTCAAAGGGGGTGGTGTTCACCACTCTTAAGCTTTAGGCCTTAAGTGATCTGAGGTTTCAAAAATTTACCCACAAAGTTTTGGTAAACTCCATTCATTATTTTAGGACACCTTATAGAGAAACCACTTTGTGTTTCCTGTTTGTCTTGTAAAATTATCATCACAATAATGAAACAAAGCCATGAGAATATAAAGTTTCTGTTCCTCAACTAAATTACATCTCATTTCGTAACACAGTATTTAGAGTTTCATTGGGAAGCAGAAGGGAGAAGTAAAGAGGGAAGATCTTTACTTAAAAAGGATAAAGACCACAGAAAATATTTTTGCAACAGAAGTATTTCACAGCTACCAAGACGCCAATGAACAATTAAGACGTTCACACAGTTACTCTCTCCACAATAACCTGTAAGTTGCACATTTGCCAATAACCAATTACCAGTCCAGCACTTGTTTCAGTGTGGTAAATTGTTTATAAAGATAAGGGTGCATGCAACTTGAAAAGCCACTGCGCCGTTGTAATATTTTAATCTGGTACTAACACACTAAACTGACTTGTAAAACACTGCTACTTAACAAACTTTAAATGCATTTTCGGTTAAAAAAAAAAAATTAAAAAAATTGCTAAGCCATATTCCAAACATACTGCTTGAACTGTAGGGTAACGTTAATACGACAAAACTGAAGAACAATTGAAAAGAAATAGCCTCTAGAATATCATCTGTATACTAGAATGTATAAACATGAAATAGGTACACCTTATTCTATTACCACCTAATATTCATTAAAATGAAAGGGATACAAACAGCCACAACATTAGCTTATAACCTCTCTAACTTTCCAACCCAAAATGTCTTTTGAAATCAAGCCTTGCATATTTTAATGTGGGTGTCACAATGCCATATCCTTGAGGCCATGTGTAGAAAGTGGTGCAACCACATCACCATCAGACAGCTAATAAGTAGAGACAGCAAGAGGCAATTAGTCACAGGCTACACTTCACAATACATTCAATTTGCACTAAGGAAACAACCATGACATTCTGATGCAGCTTGGGAGGAAAAAAAAAAGGTGGAAGAACATCACAAAATGAGGGGATGTCATTTTATATTTACCTGATACCAACAAAGGACTGCTTTGGTAAAACATCATAAAATGCCCAACAGTATTTAGAAATACTATTCCATGGAATTTCAGATCAAATCAACACTAAGATTTTGTGGTGTCCATTGGTCAAAAAGGATATGCACTAGACATTGTTTATACATCAAAACACTTCAAAGCATGCATCAGCATTGCATTCCTGTTATTTTCTTCAAGAAAAAAAAATTTCTTCCAAGGTGCTGTTAAAAAGGTATTACTAGCTAGCTAGCTACGGCCAGATGAACAAGCCTCTACACAACCAATAGCACACAGCACATATTTTACATGGAAAACAACAGCTGGCATATAAATTTATATCTTTTTTGTTTAAAACAACAAAAAAAAAAAAAACCAAAACCAAACCCACACCAAGAATACCCACTGGACTCTACGCTTCAATTCATAAAACATTCAGGCTTAAGTCAGCTGCCCCACTCTCTTTAAAAAAAAGAAAAAAAAAACCAACATAACAACACCCTCAGCTCATGCTACGATCACACATTAAATTTAGTTCCACAAAAATTTGGTTGCATTCCTTGAACATACCTAATAAAAGGGTCTCTATAAGCAGCTCTTAAAATTTGTTTATTCCTTCATGTATGGCTTCATTTTTTAAATATACCATACATTACTGAAACAGTTCTCTGAATACAGAATTACCAGATTCCTTCCTCTGCTTTTTAAAAGCACTCACCATTGTAACTAGTACATACAAATAGCCCCCACATGTGAGACCAAAGATCCATCTGGTCCAGCATTTCATCCGTGGCTATTAGCAAATATCACTCGGATGGTAAAGGAAGGACATAGGAATAGAATAAGCATATATCACTTAAAAGCAATATTTGTAAAGCATTTTCTCCAGATGTTCAGTGATTTTTGAATTAGGAACTTCTGAAGTCATATATGGAATCTTAGATTTAAAGCTGTTCATCAAATCTTCTTCCATGAATATTAACTTTTGAATCTGTGTAAATTTTTAGCACCTAGAAGCAAGGAGTTCCACAGCTTAGTTATGCATCAGAATTGAAGATACATCCTTTCATTTAAGCCTGATCCTGCTAATTATATTTGGTATCCACAGATTTTTAATTATACAAGGTAGTAAACAGTCATCTTCAGCTTTCATGTTAGTCCTGATTGTATCTTCTCTCAGTTACCTTTACTCAAAACTAAAGAATCCTACTCCAGTCAACCACTACTTACACAAAAGCCATTCTCTGGCCAGCCATCCTGTGCTCCGCTCTACCCTCTCCAGTTACGCGCTGCTCGTTCTGAAACACAGACGCACAGTGCGCACTGTATACAAGATATGAGGTATATAAAATTTTATGATAATCTACCATAAATTTATACAGAGGCATAACAATATTTTATATTCTACTGCATTAGACATACACCTAGGCAAATTCACTAGTTCTCAAAATTTTCCTAAAGAAACAGACCTATGCTCCAGAACACAACTTTAAAACCCTTACGTGGGACCACACACTTTCTTCATACAGTCCTGTCTCATTCACTCAGCTCTTCCACCTTCTGCAACAGATATTCAAAAGCAAGTCTGTGCAGTGAATAAAATAAGGAGCTCATGGGAGAACAGGGTAGAGAGGAAGAGAAATATGATGCGAGATTACGCAATATATATATTTAAGGATACAAAATAAAGACAGATGCACAAATGTTGTCCATGAGCTAACAAAAAAAAAATAACAGCAAGAGAACACTATTATCTGCTCCACATACCATCACACAAAGGGAAATGGGAAAACTGACAGTAATTTTCACCAACATTTTGTTATAGTTTTGGGGTGTTATTTTAGGTCTTTTAAAATTAGTACGCTCTATTAGCCGTGAATGCATCAACCCATTCCCCATTTACAGCCTCTGCTTCACCCTCTTTAATCAGTCCACTGCTGCCTCTCATCTCAGGTCTGCTACTTTCTTCAACCTCAAGCGCTCTTCTCGCTTAGCAAATTCCAAATTCCTATTTGCGTGTCGGTCCCCATCTGGGCCCAGCCTCTCCTCCCTCTCCACAGGTTGCTATGGACACCAGAAACCCGGCTTTGCAACACATTTGCCAAAGGCAACCCAGCTCTGAAACACAGCATCCCTTTCGTTTTGAAGTCACATACGAGATGATTTTCAAAGCTAAGAACTGAAACATAAGTTTGGCATGAGCTTAGGGTAGAAAGGATCTTGACACTAACTGCAAAATCAGAGTAAATTGTGCAGTAAAAAGCCACTTTTCATGTGTGCTCAGAACATCCAAATGGGAAGTTACCACCAATGACAAATGCACATTACATTTCTCATGGGAGCAATGACTTTTCCTTTTTCTAATCCTTGATCATGTCAGAGTTGCAGTTTTATTTTCCATCCTGACTAGCAACAAAACTATATAAGATATAAGACTGTGCCCACCATATGGTTACATCAAAAATGTAATTAGCAAAGTTTTAATTTTGCTAAATCATAGTTGCATTGCAAACATACTTAGGTAAAATTCTTAAGTCACAAGCTGTTTCATCTAGACCATCAACAAACTTTTGCCCAAATAAAGGAAAATTAAGACATATACGAAGATCGATGCACATTTATTTCTGAAAGTAAATGTGAAACTAATGTGAAGTAACCTTGACAAAGGTAAAGTTGTACTTCCTTAAGTGACAGAATCGAATTACGGCCCCCAAAACTGCTTTACATTACTTGCATTGGCACATGGAAGCAAATTTTTTTCTTTTTTTTTTTTTTTTAAATAAGAATTTCAGGCATGTATTTAAAAAAATAATAAGAGTAAGCAGAGAAAAAGAAAGAAAAACCCTCATGTGCTTCATAATGTGCTTCAAACAGAAAATAATGTCAGCTTGCAATAATAGCAAGAAAAATGGTATTTGTAGCTGTCCAAGTAAAAGCCTCAATTATTGTATAAAAGTAAACTTTATCTTAAATTTTCTGGATTTATTCCCTTCCCCAACACATGTAAAAACACCACACTAAATAAAAGACAACAGAACCCTATGCAAAAACTTACCCTCACGACTGCATATTTTCAGCAACTCAGATCAGTTCCATTGCTGTCAAGGTTGCTTACGGTTTCATAAATAGCAAGAGATATACAATTTTAAAGGAAGGAAACTGTATTTGACCTATTTAAAAAGATTCTTTCAAGGGTTCAGTGGAAACAAATTATATCTGTGCAGAACTCCACAAGGTCTTGAAGCCTTCTGGCAGAACAGGTTAGGAAAAATTGTGTCAGAATTACGCTCCTTCCATTTATTTTCCTTTTACTTCCCCCTGCCTCTCTTGTTTTCTGGGAACTTCCATTTCACCATCATGCTTACAGGTTACATTTGACAGTAACCATCTCATCACAGCTCATTTACTGCAATGCACACAAAGAAATGAGTGTCTTGACGTCAGATAATTTGCATGATAACTCTCAAAAGCCACAGCTGCATGAAAACACAGATCTGTATAGATGCATCTTATAGTGGTAAGCCTTAGGTAAGGCTTACTAAATAGCAGACAATAATTCTGCCTAAATCGAGCTTAATAGGTCTTTTTCTAGTCTTAAAAGAGCCTGTGCAGATATTTT